CGTCCTGCAAAAGCCCCTGCCCTGGGCACCGAGGCCGGGGGTCCTGCACACCCACCGTCACACAGTGGGGTCACCAAGCAGCACCGCGAGGTCCCTCTGGAGAAGAGGGCCAGGGCTGCCGAGGAGGGCGGACCAAGTGGCACCGCACCTGCGGGGTTAATTGCACAGTTCAAGATGTAACAGCCGCACAAAGGAAAACCGTCGTCCGTCCTCGAAGAACATAAACACTTGTGCTGAACGAGATGGGCATCTGATAGGCCAGCCACACAGGGCCAGCGTGCGGGGCTCCCGTTAACACTCGGGCTCGGTGTTAACACTTCGTAGCGCCGCGGCCAGGCCTGTCGCCAAGGTCAACAGCACAGATGCACTAATTGTATGACGAGCTTGACATCTAGTGGCCACCCCTGGCAGGCAGGGCAGGAAAGGTTAAGTCAGCAAGGCCTGTCTCAGCTCCTCTAACAACCCACCTTCAGGGCGCCGCCCAAGCTGGCCAGCTCCGCAGCCCCCCTTCTGCCCCCCTTCTCCCGACCTCAGACAGCAGGGCAGAGGCCGCTGCCGGAAGGCTTTCCGGCTCGCAGAGCGGGTGGGGGTCCCTGGGGGCGAGCGCAGCAGCCACACCGGGGCGAGGGTAAGAGCCAGGCCCACTGAGGACCCGGTCTGGGCCCCACTGCACCACCAGGTCTCTCTGCTGGGCGTCCTTTCAGCCGGGAGAGCTCTTCCTTTAATTAGCAGACAAATCAGCTCTAATCCTCACCTAAGTAGAGCCTGCCACGTTATTTTATTATTTCGATGAATATTCTATGCCTTCTGTAACGCAACTCGCCGAGTGTGTTGGCTGGGAACAGGCGGCCAAGTGCACGGGAGACCGGAAAGGTGTTCCGAGGAGAAGAGAAAGCCTGACAGTGGGGTTTTCCAAACACAGAAGTTGACTTAAGGCAAAATGTGAAAACCTTCGGCTTTACAGGCTCTGCTTGTGCCTGATTGCCTGGGAAGTGTGGGGCCAGGCGACAGAGGCCGCGGTGGCAAACCTGCTTCACTTCACGAGACCAGGACGCGCAGGCCTGTCTCTGCCAACGCGAGAGGGAATCTCGTAGGAAAACACAAACACAGGGACAAAACCCTCCAAACTGCCCTTCCCCAGCTATTCTGCAGCACAGAGAGGGCGCGTCACCTCATTAAGCAGTTAAGAAGATTTTAATTTTACTTGAATAAAAGCCTGTGCCGGTAGTTCCATTTAAGAATGCTAAATTCCAGCTGGGGTTCAGTGCACAGAGGGGAACCTTGGTCTCACTCTGAATCCCCCCAAAAGAGAAGGTTCTGAGAGCTACCTTGAGGGGAATGGGGGAGCCTGGGAGATGGCAGTTGGAGATGAAATCTGACCCACTTTGGCCATCATCCTGTATACAAAAAATAATCAGCTTGCTAAGCAATTCCTGCTGTGCGCCCATGCCTCTTCTTTCTCCGGCTCTGAAAAGATCTAAAAATACTGGGTGACCACACGTCGTGGGAGCCCCCACTGCCACCCACCTCAGCAGCTCCCCCTCTGTGAGGTGGGAATTAATTGGCAGGCCTTCTGGTGGCCAAAGAAAAATGCCTTTTAAAATGGGTCCGGCTTTTTACGTGTTCTTTTTAAAATAAAGGCTTGCAAATTCCTCCTTTCCCCTCTCCCTCTTACTTACTTTTCACCTTTCAGGTCTCCGAGAAAACCAGCTGCCCACTAACGAGTGAGAGCAGCTTCTGCCGGTTCCCTTCCGAAGGCCGAATTGTAAATGTGTCCTGGGGGGGGGGGGCGCTCAAGGCAAACCGTGCAGATACAGAGAAAAGAGAAAAGACCTCTGCACCAAAGCCCGGTGGCCTCCCCCCTGAACTGAAACACGGCCTGCGAAGACCCCTGCTCAATTCTTAAATCACATGCTCGCCACATTTAAAAGGGTTTTTTAAGATAGCCATGTGACTGAAAATAAAAACACACTTTGAAGCAATTAGTGCCCGCAAACAAAACGCAGGATGGCAAATTGTTTTAAATTATAATATCCTTTTGTTCTTCTTTAAACACATTTTCTCTCTAACGACAATGAACCACGTCTTTACGAAGCTGTATTTTATATGATAAATGATGGCACTATTACACCTTTCAAAGTTCTTAGGAGTGTCAACTGCGCTTCTGTCATCAGAAGTTTTAATTACTTTGCTCAGAACAAAAATATTCAGCTGGCTCAAAGGGTTTCATTATTAATGACATCCATTTAACTGAATCCTAAAGCTGCAACACTTATTTCTGAATTTTCGGAAACAGTTGAAACACTGTTCCCACTGGGAATGTCAGTCTCTGTCATTCTTAAATTTTACAACAGGATTACTCTGCAACTTCACAAAAATCACAGTTACTTTTTCTCATTTTACACACACCATCGTATTTCACTCCTGCAAAGATGAGGTTTGGAGGGCACCGAGGCTATTTTTGGATAGCTACCTTTTCTCATCACTTGCCTAAAAACCAAAGTCTGAAAAAAGTCATATTTCTGTTTTTAAGAAATAAAGTCTTCTTTTTTTTTTTTACTGTAAATTACTGTGGCAGTGAATCTTGGCCACCCCATGCTACACTCCAGTTTTACAGTGTTTGGTTTTTTTGTGGCATTATGAATAGCCTCCAAGTGGACTGTGTATACTGCTTTAATTAATGTCACAGCCAAAGTGATACAAAGGAATTATCTACTTTGTTTCTAAAACGCTGTAAACTTATTTCCCTCGCAACTTCATGCACCATCTGTTTATTTCCACTGTGCTTAACAAAGTTCAAATGTGGAGATCTCATTCACGTTGGAGTGGCTTAGTTTTCACAACCATTTATCTTGAAAACATGTTTTAGTCACCTTCCCAACACGAGCAGCACACAGCAATCCACGCCAGCACTCCTCCCGGAGCCGAGAACAGAGTACCTTTTATGCTCGCTGAACAATCAGCTTCGGAATAATTAAATCCGAAAGAACTATTTTTTACATAGTTTGCCTAAACTGTCCCCAAAACAACCGAAGAAGCACACCACTGGACCGAGGCTCAGCCCCACAGGCTCTTTTCGGCCTGTTGCAAAACATGACCAGAAACTGTGTTAGCATCTGGGATGCAACTCGGAATGGCGGAAGAACACAGGTCTGGCAAAAAACTTTAATCCTTCCATCGGTGTGAAAACCTGAATGGCTCACCTCTACACAAATTCAGTAACAACGAGGGGAATCCAGAAGAGAACTTGTAAATAATTTATTCCATCCAAGGTTTTCAAATATAGGCTATATATCCCCTAACATGTTTACACTATTAGGCTCACCAAGCTCACGTTTCTGGAGTGAAATTAAAAATGAATAGCAGAGCCTCAGCATGGTGATTGCTAAATACCAGGGGTTTTACTCTATTAATTAAAATATGCTTTAATAAAAGGAGACATTGCACATTTTGATAACGACCCTACAAAGCTGAGAAGTATTTACATTGTTGCATTTTGGGGCGCCTGTGAAAGCCGATTTCGAGCTATTCAGGAGCCACAATAATACAGCTTTAAAATTCCTCGCTGGGATGCAATGTAGCTCTTTTGAAGGGAAGACTGTCTTTCTCATTCGGCAGAAATAAATCCATTCATTTGATCATGTAGTCATTGAGGGCAATACAAAACAAACCAAGTGTGAGAAATTCTATGTGATGAAGTAAACAAAACAAAAAAATCCATTTCCATGACAAAAAGATTCTTTGTCCCTAATCCACCCACCATATGCAGGCGTTTCTTTTTAGCATATCTCCGGTTCCAATCGCGGGTGACGAGGCCGCACAGGCTCCGCGGCCTCGCCTCCGAGCGACAGAAAGGCCCAGCTCACGAATTTTATTTAGCGACCTCCGGGCCGCGTCCTAAGCATCTTCCTCGTTCCGCGTCCCGACGCACCGGGGACCTGCTCGGTCAAACTTCCCCACACCGAGTGGTCAACGCACATCCCTGTGATTTTCTGCAGGAAGCCTAATCCTCCTGGTAAAATAAGATGCCTATCGGCCTCCGAACAACTTATAACCGGTTAATTCAAAAGTTGGCCGGCGTCTTTTTTAAGGAATGAACTACCCGATGTCCGCGCTGCGGTGCAGCTGCGCCCCCCCCCCATCTGGCGTCCCGGTGTCGCACTCTGGGGACCCCGATGGCCCCAGGCAGCACCGCGAGGACTCCGGCCCAAAACTTCTCGGGAGGAGGCCGGGCCGTCGGCGCCCGGCTCTCGAGAGCGGCGGCTATCTTCACTTGGGGACGAGGAGGAAGTCCCCGCGGCGCCGCAGACACAGGAGCAGGCCAAGCAAACTTAGAGCCGCCAGGACGTGCCGGGTCCTCCGCGTGCACAGAACACCCCCCAGCGCCGCGGCCGAGCTCACCCCGGGTTAAGTCCCCAGGCGGCCATTAGGCAAGGCCTGGCGACAGTGCCTGGTCGCTTCGGAACCGGACCATTGGTTTGTCAGGGCGCCGGGGCTCGCAGCTCTGCGGCCTGCGGGCGCACAAGGCGGACTGTGCGGGGTGGGGGCAGGCCGGGGTCCGCGCGGCGGCCGGGCTCGGACCGCCGATCGCCCGAGGCGCCCGGAGCGGAACAAAGCTGCTCCGCCTGCGTACAGCGGTAGGTGAGCCCGGACTCGTAACCGCCGCTGAGCCCGCCTAGGGGACGCCGGGGTCGCGGAGGCCAGCCCCAGGTCCGGGCGCAGAGAGCCCGGGGGGCAGCGTGGAAGAGGCGGCGCGGACCCCTCCCACCCCCGCCCAGTTCCGCGCGCAGCTCCCCAACTCCCAGCGGCTGAGCCAAGTTTACTTCGCCCGCAACTCTCCGCGCCGTGCGCTCTCGCGGGGATCAGTCACTGCGGCCCGCCTGCTCCGCCCAGGCGCCGCGCGGCAGACCCTAGCTCGCCGGATCCAGGGACCCAACCCCGTCCTCCGCTCTCAGTCGACCCCGCCGCCCCTAGGCCCCCGCCTCTCCGCGGCCCCTCACCGTGCTCCGGAGCCCCTTCCGGCGGCGGCAGCTCCTCGTCCGACTTGAGGTGCTGGGGCTTGGCCTGCTTGCGCCGAGACATGCTGCTAGCGGCGCGCGGGCCCCACTCGGGGCAGCGGCATCAGCGGGACGGCCGGCGGGGACGGCGCGGGGCGGCCGGGCGGGCGCGGGGCGCGGGGCGCGGGCGGCGGCGGCGGCGGCTGCGCGGGCCGCGCATGGGGCTGAGCAATTAGGCTGGTGAATAATGCATGTCCATTAGCGGAGGGCCGCGCCGATTGGCCGGCCTCCAGCGGACTCTGGCGGCCTATGCAAATGAGGCCGCGCTCGCAATTAGCGACCGCGCGGGCTAAGAGGCGGCCGGCGCCCGGGGACCTGGGAGCGCGCGGCCGGGTACCGCCTACATCGCGAGCTCTGCGCTCCCCGGCGCCCAGGTACCTTTCGGCGGCCGGGAGCGGGCGGGCGCGGTGGCTGCCCCTGCCCAGGGCGCAGGCAGCAAACTTTGGCGGCGTCCGCGCGGCGCCGTCTCCGCCAGCGCGCCGGGCTCACCCCTTTATAGAGAGTCTGCGCCGCCGCCCGCCCCCCCCTCCGCCGCCGCCGCCCCGCCGCCCCTCCCGGAGCGAGCGGTCGCGGGCAGGGCTCCGGCCGGCGCCTTTGTCTCCCGGGCAGCTTGGGCGCCGCGCCTCCTGCGCTCCGGGGCGCGGAGGGCCGGCCGGCCGCCTTCGATCCTCGGTAGTGGGTCGCGGCGTGGCTGGGCACGCCGGCCCCGCTCCGGCTCGGGTGCCCCTTATCTCCGGACCTTCTCTCCCGGCTTCGGTCCTTTCCGCGGGCTCCCCCGGCGGCCGGCGCGGCTCGGAGGCTCGCAGCCGGAGCGGAGCGGAGTGCGCACGCCGGGGTGGCGGGACTTCGGCAAGACCAACTTTCCGGTTCGGAAGCGGCGCGGGCCTCCGGGCTCCTCCCCTCCCCACCCTCAGTCCCCCTCCCCTCCGCTCCCCCCTCCTCCCCACCCCCCCCACCCCGGGCCTTTCGACTGCAGAGCGCTCGCCCCGCCCGCCGCCACCACCCGGGCAGCCTCGGCCCCTCGCCCGCCCGCCGGGCCTCCCCACTGCCTGGGCTCCTTAAATCCAGAGGGAAGGGAGGGGATGGCGTGGCCCCGATGTCCCTCCCCCCACTTCCCTTTCCCGACACGGGTGCGGTGTCGCGGCACCTGCAGAGTGGGCAGGGGCACAGGGTGCCCCGAGGCCGCGAGACTGAAAGTTCTAAGTCCACGAAAGTCCGAGTGCAGCCCAAGGTGTTATAGGGCTTTGGGGGGGTGACTTGTGGGGGCGGGGCAGGTGAGGGGGTCGCGCACGTCTGGACTGGCACCCCCGGGTGGGCGGCCGGCGCCGCGCGCTTCTCGCACGCGCACCCACTCTTCCCGGGCGGTCACAGGCACGCGCCCTCACAACCGCGCGCGCACCCCCACCCGCAGTCGTGCACACGCGTCCTCGCCCACTCCCGCGCGTGTCCTCCATATCCCAGCGGCAGTCCGGATATGCCGAGGCCCCGCCGTAAGCGTGCCCGCTTCCCGCGCCCCAGTATGTCTTTTCAATTTACTAAATTTCTTATTTTTGTCCTTACAAGTGGCCCTGCCTAGTTCATAGCTTTGGCACAGATGGCCTCCCGGCGCTTTCCCCAGTGTCGTGCGCTGGAGGGGAAACCAGTGGTGACCAGGCAGCCCCGGGTACCCAGAGGGCTGCGAGCTCCTGGCATGGCCGGCGGTGGTGTTCTGCTTGGCTTTGGGACACCCGCCCCCCAGGACGGACCCCGATCCTGCACCGCTCGCCAGGCTCACCGCAGGCCGCTTTGCCATTCTAGAATCTTCCCGCTCCCCAGCCCTCCTGCTCCCGCCCGCCTCTAATTGTGTAAGTTTCACGAAGCAACAGCTTTGGGCTCCAGGAAAGAGAAGGGAAATCGTACTGAGGAGGGAAGCGTGCGGGTTGGAACTCTTTCCAGTCCCCACCGCCACTTCTACAAAAACAAACAAACAAAAAAAAACCCCTTAATGTTGTTTTCGATTTACTTTTTGGTGGCAGGCGTATTCATTTCAGTGATTTTGGTTTTTGAAAAGAAAACAATGACCAAAACGAGATGTCCGAAGTCTACAGCCGTCGCCCCTCAGACCACGACCGTGCCGGCGTGGCTCGGCCAAGCGGGAGGGCGCCTTCCCGCGCTGTTTCGCTGTGAAACTATCGCCGAGGCTGCGAGCCTTTCAGGGGACGCCCCTGCCTCGGGTGCAGAAGCGCTTGGCAGCGGAAAGTTTGCAGTCAGCCTTTGGGGCACTTTCCTGGGGAAAGGGGGGCAAAGGGTGGGGGCGGCTACGGAGAGTGAAGACTTTTGCATAATTCACCGGACGGCCTGGAGTTTGGGGGAGCTGCAGCGCCGCGGGCGAGGGGCAGGCGTGGGCGAGGTGACTGCTTTCCTGGAGAGAGGAGGCAGGAGGGTCTTCGGGGGGTCGGCCCCCTGCTTGGAGGCGTGCTGCTTAAGTGACCTGGTTAATTTTATTTCCCCCTTTTCTTCTCTTTCTTTTTTTAATTCGACTCTTTGGGGAGAAGAAGCAAGTGCTCCTACGGCGTCCGAAGCTTTCGGAGGAAGCCGGGGCCTGGCTTCCTGCAGCCTCCTGGCCCCAGGGCGCGACTCCTCCTATCCGGGCCACTTTGTGCGCCCCGATCCCCACGTTTTTTGTCCGCAAGGCTGTTCATCCGCCCCCCATTCCCCCCGCCCACTCTCCACCGCACTGCAGGATTTCTCAGGGTCTTTCTGGGACTTCCAAACGCAGATGTTTAATTTCATCGACTTGCTTTGCATTTTCCACGAGGTGTGGTCGTCGGGAGAGCCTTTCAAGTCCCTCCAATGAGGGCGAACCTGAGACCCTGGCCCTTTTATCTGTGAGAAGCAGGCCTTCCGATCCCAGTGGTGTCGCGCCAGTCGCGATGCGCTTTGCCAGTGGCGAAGTCCCGCAGGCTGCTCGGCGCCGTGCCGGACGCCGCGGTTCTCACGGAGAGAGCAGCGCACACACCGGACGCAGTGCGCGCGGGCCGGCCTGCCCCGGTGGCGCCTCGCACGGGGCCGCGGGTGGGCCGGTGGGTGCAGGCGCAGGCTCCGTGGAGCCTGGCGCCGGTGCTGCGCTGGGATTTCGTTGAGAAAATGGAGTAGAGAGCTGGGCGAAAGGGCCAGGGAAGCTGAGACAGAAACCTGCACCGTCCCCCCGCCCCCCCATTGCTAAAATGGTGCAGGGCACACACTTTTTTTTTTTTTTTTAATTGGGGTGAACAACAGAAAAAAATGTAAAGGTCGAAAACAAAAGTCGCGTTACCTCCTGACTTACCTGTTCTTCCTCCCAGGCCTGCTTCCTCTGAGATCTGAAACTTTTCTTTGTTTTTACTCAATGCAGCAAGTTTCAGTGAAAATATGTAGGACGTGAGCTTGAGTGCTACAATAGATTTATTTCAAGGTGAAAACGCGTGAACGGGATATTTCCACGGATGAAGACAGGACGCCGGCCCCAGTAAAGGCTGGCAGACGTGGCCCCGAGGTGCGGACCGGACTGCTGCGCGCCGCTTGCAAACGCCCGTCGCCTGACCGCTGCCTGTTACAATGTTGCAATACCTAAACACCACTGCGACAACAAAAGTTGTTTTTCTTCCCTATAATTAAATCTAATTTGTTAATTGTCTTTCCTCTTGCAATGTTTTCATCTTAAGAGGTGACACGTTATTATTTTCTCTGCTTAATAATATTATTTATAAATTAATACTGTATATTTTACATTAGTGGAACATACAATTAGGTGTTTGATTTAGTTTGTCTCATTTATTCAGACAAAACGGCCTGTCTGCAGGACCGATCCGCCACGGGAGGCTGGAAGTTGGTTCCGTGGTAACGCCCCAGTTGGTTGACGTTCCCTGCCGCTCCGTCCACACGACAGCTCACATCAGGTGCCTTTGACACTTGGTTCAGGACTGCCTGCTTACCCCAGCCACTTCACACAAAAAAAGAGTATACAAATATTAGAGCTTCGTTTTCCGTCTCCTTTCATTCTGCTTTGCCCCCCAGATCAAAGTTCCGGTCTCCCCTCTGGCCTCTCCTGGCTCTGGCTCAGCCCCCACCCGACTGGTGTTTTAGGTCCTTACGGTTGTATCAAGGCTGATTGTATGTCTTCAGTGCTGTGACAAGTGACCGCTAATTGGTTCTTACTTGAGCGAAGATATTACCATACTAATATTATTATTGGTAAGAAGGGGTAATTGATAACACCACCTGCCACTCTGCAGCGATCACAATGATAAATGTTTCCATCAACAGGAAATCTGTGCTCGGTGCACCAGCGCCCGGCCCAAACAGCATGTCAAGTGCCAATTATAAAGATGTTGCCTTTCTATTACGCTGGGGGTGGGGGGCACCGGGAAACATGCAGCCCAAAATTGTATCTGCGGCTTATTGCAAACGCTTTCCCTGAGCTTCCTATCCCCCCACTTGAGGGTTACTTGCCCCGTAAGAACAAAACGCTGTATTTAAATGAACGGTCACAGAGCTCACTGCCCTCCCACACTTCTCCTGACGCCCACTTGGCTTTTCAACCCATTGCGATACACGTGTAAATATTTTTTAACAGCTGAGTGTGGATTGCATGCCTCCATCCACGGCGGTGTGCTCATCGCTGGCTGTGTAAGCATCACGCACAAACACGCCCTGTGGCTTTCCATGTCACACTCGGGGACACACGCCCCTTCACGCTGGGGCACACACGGTATGGAGGTGCTTCTCTGTGACCCTCCCACTGCATGTCCGGGCTGAGGGCCAGGAACACAGGATGGCATGGACAGTGCTGGCCGGCTCAGACTTGGGCCCCCTCCCCTGCAAGGAGGCTCAAACGATTATTATTAGCTTGCATTATTAGATGCAGGCCTCAAAAGGCGAAATCAGCTATTGATAATTGCAAGAAGTATACAGCAGCTACTGTATCGATCGGCTTGTCCCTATTCCCCTGGTATGGGCGAGATAAGAAGACTCACTCCTTAGTGCAATATAATTTCTTTTGACCTATCTGCTTGCTACAGACTTATGATGAATAGCCGGAGTGGTTAAAGTCCTTTATCACGAAAGTTACCCCTTGATATAATATTGATTCTTTATAACTAGCTCCAAACACAAAAATCAAACTGTCCACTTGACCATCATCATCATCA